ATGTCCCATATGCATTAAACCCTAATGTATTTCCATGTGAATTTCCTCCCCCCACTCCTCCATAATTCTGTTGGTGATACTACTTTTGAATCCCTTTCTCTACTTACTTCTTTCAATGAATCATTTTCAAGCTTTGTAAGAAAATCTGTGAAAATTGAACCTAATGGGAAGCCATGACAATACTGTCGTTTTGTTTGTAATAAAGGTTGTTGAATGTGAAGAAGTGTACTTTCATAATGCATCTTACAAGCAGATCTTTGAGACTAATGATTGGAATTCCCATATCGAATTGCTTTTTAGTATTTGCTGTCATACAAATTACAGTCTCCATAAGCGCTGCATTGATGAACAGTGATGTGACATATAACGACAGCATTTGGTTCCCATCTACATTTACATCGTGTAGGTTAGAAGCGAATTCAAAGATGTCCTTAACACTAAAATTTATCACTTTCTTGTGTAATGGTGTGAGGAGTTCAGGAAGCCTCTCCATTGTAGGTGGAATTATACATGTTTAAGACCATACGCAGAAGAACTCTTGGTTGATGTACTTAAGGCATACCATTCAGTCGTAAAGTATAAGCTCCTGTAGGTTTAAATTTGTAGACTACCTCAGAGACTACTCCAATTTTTCTCAGCTCTTTCACGTGTTCGTTAACTGCTTTCAACCTTTCCGTCTAAATCTGTTGAGCTGTTAAGCTTTCGCAATTTCATCTCATCTTGTCAACGTACTCACATTTACTTTCCAGTACTATTCAGGCTCCTGATAATCTCTACGGAGGACTTCGCGGCTTTCATCCATCCATGCTCTTGATTATCGAAGAGAGTAAAGTACCACTTCTCAGATGTCATGCTAGATAGATAGAGTAGAGGATGGCACATTGGAAAGATTGACCTATCGAAAGCAAACCTTTTCCAGGGCAGTAAACCACTGGCTTAACCTGTCGGGTGCCTCTAGGTAGATGGTAGACATATCCCAACCATCCTCCGTACTCCAGAAAATTTGCTCTGAAAATACAGTTGATAAAGACGTGGGAAATTTTCGCGCAACACTCTTAAGTGAGGGATACTCTAGAAGGCCTGTTAAGAGAAACATGAAGAAAGGAACCACTCCTAGACAAATCATAGAGCCAAAGAAGACATTGTTTATGAGTTCTGCATTCGAAGGTGACACTAATGTTGAACTGATTAAAACCTGTCCATACAAGTGTACTTTACACTTTCTGACTCACACTCAGTATTTCCCAACCAGATAATGCGTCAACGATAAAATACTGAATATGTCCACCTCTATATGGACCAACTGTTTCCCATGCTCTTGAAGAACTGACTATTTCGGACTTTGTGAACGTGTTCTTCGCGAAGGTATGAGTGAACAGTACCCGGTGTGGCTGAGAAGGAAAAACGGAGGATGATGAAGTCTTTGGTTCGTGAACACTTTCTAGAGTCAGGTCATTCAGTCCCATAGGACTTCTCTTCTAAAGTAGTCTATAGGACCAAATTCAGTCATTCGAAATGTTTACGTTTTCTCCACCTATGTATACTCGAAGCTCTACCTATTATATGGACAAAAAGCTAAACTATGTATTCAAAAACGTTTTGTGAAATTCCTTCCTCTACCCTGGTCATAGTAATGATCTTTCTGTTCTGTTCTACTTTACCATTTGAACTCCTTCCATCCATCTACGCCCACCTCATCGTTATCATCATTATCGCACAACCTGCGTTTGATAATACTTGAAACCAATTCACTTCTATTTAAAAATCATTGAAAATTTTGTAATTCATCCACTTCAAGTCTACCTCGTTAAATGTCATATTAATTACCTTTCATCTTGTATCTCATGGTATATAAACTGAATAGTTCTAGATACTTTTGCTTAATGCCTTCTTCCATAATGTATAAACAAGCGTACACCTTGAAAGTGAACTTGTTGAAGGGAAATATTTTTTTCGCTGAATGGAAACTGTATTCACATCTAGATGGTTTCAAGTCAGTCAATTCTAAAATGCTGAAGCTATGCAAGCGTAAATAAATAGATCATTTTATACTGAATTTATTATAAAAATTAAAAATATAAAATCTGCAGAATGACCACTTAATATATTGCTATATACGGTTCCCACACAAGTTTTCAGGCACACAGACAAAAGTACTCATTGCATAAGACGCAGATAACTGGAGAAAAACACTGTACTGTGGGCTGAATTACTCTGATCTAAATAATAATAATAATAATAATAATAGGCGGTCAAACCAAAACATGGCACCAGTTAATGAAATCTACAACAGTTAGTTTAAGCCAGCCAGCCACGTAGGAAGGTTTAGACTTCCTGACTGGTTGGGGTCCTCGTGACGGTAGAAAGCAATGGCTAGAGACAATCGGTGATTTGGTTCAAAATCCTCGTTCTCAATGGCGCAGATGCATCCACTCCTTGTGATTTATTATTCCCAATGAAACGGTATTGCTCTTCGATATAAGTATAAAACTTGGGCACTGTGGTAGAGTGTGAATCCATTATGGAGAAGATTTTATTTTGATAAATCACACAGTGTTACACAGTAATATTAACTGATGTGACTACGTTTCGAGCACAAATGATTGCTCATAATGATATCAAGTTGTGTGAGTAACTTCATCAGTTAATATTACTGTGTAACACTGTGTGATGTATCAAAATAAAAATCTTATCCATAATGGAGTGTATTGCTCTTCGTTATTACTATTCCTTTGTCTCATATCTCTGTCTACTGTCGCTATTGTGCATTTCTTCTACTTTCTTCTCTTGTTTTGTGTGATACATGGAGAGTGGCGACTCGAACTGCTGCACATCGGTGCAAAGTTCTATGTCGAAAGCAGACAGACAGAAATAATAATAATAATAATTGAAGGTGAAAGTACAAATACTGAACAGTAGTTTGCATATTACGCTTGAGATTATAAGATGACCAAGGAAATGGTGACAGATAATAATAATTATTATTATTATAATAACGAGGAATTTGATGTCCAACCTATAGTGAAAGCAATAAGTATGTCTATTTACAAAGAGAAACACAAATTGTAAAAGTGTATAAGAGAAGCAGACTTAATTTATGATAGTGCATACATCTGATAAATACCATAAAGTTAAGATAAAAGACTGAAGCATTTGCACATACACACACACACCATAATGGCAAGAAGAGCCACTAAATTACAACTGATCTGACATAGAGGGAAAACAACAAGAAGTTCAGCAAAGATGACGGTCTTTCCAGCGATTTCATTCTCAAAAGCTGTACAATCGCAATTATATACATTAGTTTACATGGATACAATTATTAATTATTTAATTCCACATAGTAACGAAGAAGGTGATAATAATTTTCAACTTCATATGAAAGTTTGAAGGTATGAATATAGATTACAAGGGGCTTAGAGACAATATTACATAGGATTAGAATATAATTGTAAAATGGTTATCCTAAACGGATTACAAGTGTGATCAGGAGCAGCATGGAAACAAACTTAGAAAAACTGATTTTATAAATGAAAAAATGGGATGAATTGAATGAAGACAAAGAGAGAAACATACACACACAGAGAACAAAGCAAAACAAAAAAACTGAGGGATAAGGAAACATACCGAACTAGGTCCACGGTAGTTGTAAAGGCTGGTCTGGTTTCTTTTAAACACGCAGTTTCGGCTTTTCGATGCACATGGCGACAGCTTCTGAAGTACAAAGAAGTCGGAAACACACTGCCTTTGGCAGATTTTTGTTTACTTTGCAAATGACTTTGTATGATGCGTCAGTTAAGATGCTGTGACAGGTATTGACGAGGTGTTCAGTTATGGCGCTCCTGATTGAACCAGTGCCTCCTCTTTGCAGCCATGCTGGATGATGTTCTCTAACACGTCTTTATAAGACCCGCATAGAAGTAGTCAACAATAAAACCTCATCCCGATGAACAGCTGCAACGAAGTTTCAAATAATTCACACTCTGTGAATGCAGAGCTCTAAACCATTGGTGTGAAGCCAATTAATCAATTCATTGAGAGATTGAATCATTGCGTTGACTAAAAGACAACACTATGTGTTCAAGAGATGTTGGTGAAATCAAACCGATTACAAACGATGCTCAAATTCTGAAAAACGAAGCTGAATACCTGCCTTAAGATATAATGAAAATAAAGAAAGACGAGTTCATAAAAAGCATTTAATCAATTCAGTAACATTCATCCGAAATACCATTTACAATTGCCTACAACGCTTTATATTCTCGTCTGAATATCTACACTCCACATCATCAAGCAACTGACCAAAAAAGTTACCGTCTGAATATATACCACCTGAAAAACACGGCGATAAGCGAAAATCAGTAGCGTAACATCGAGAGTTGACATAACTTAAATCTACAAGTCATTCGAATTCACCCTGGTGGTAAGATGATCATCATCGCAAACTAATCCCTAGCTCATCACCGAGCAAAGGCAGACAGCTCCAAGTGCTCCTAAGTTTACAAACACAGTCCAAATATTTTCAGGTTCAAATTATTCAAATCCCCACAACTCAACACTTGAAAGTCTCCAACCGTCTCCACGTTCACTAAAGAAACAGTCTGAGATGAATTATTTTATTCAACACATAAAACCTCCATCTTCCTCCCATGGGCTATGGAGGCAAGATAACGAAATGTCAGTTTAGGCAATATGAGCCAGAACATCCTCTCTTCAAAATTTCAACATGTCTGTCTATGATAAGGGATAACTGTGTACCCTTACCCATCAATAACAAGTTTACAATCTTAGCCTTAACTAATTCTACCTCTTTAAGCCATTCAAATAAAACATTTAAAGGAAACAACATGTGAACACAAACAAAGAAAAAAAACAAGACAGTCGAACAAAACAATCATCTGATTAAAGTGTTTGCTTTGCTTTGAAAAATCCAACATATGAAAGGATTTTGTACAAGACGATTTTCAGAAACAAAGAATTCACAGTAGATCAACTATTGCACTATATCAAATTACTAAAGTGACTCTGCTGGGCTGGGTATCTCTGAAAGTTCATAATTCGCACCAGCATTACTTTTATTAGCAATCTTACTGTTAATTCACACATTGAAACCACCAATCACAACAGAATTCTTCCACACTATCTTCATCATCAGCATCATAACCACCATCATCACCATGGTCATCATCATCAGACAACTCTATAATTATGGTATTGCGCAAGAGAGATGCGTTATTACCTTCAACAGCTAAAGAACTAATGGCACTGGGATTCAGCCTTTCCAACAGTTGTGTTGAACAGTCATCGACAACAGCTTTTTTCATCATATGAACGAGTTACTTCATCTACAATCAATTCAATGTCAACAACCTCACCAACATCGTTATTATTATCGCTATCTTCCTGCATATCCTTGCGAACATGCGATTAACTGGCACTCATATCACCCCTATCCTTGTCCCATATATTTGACGCTTTCTTCACTTTCTCTACCTTCCAACAACTAGTCTCACATTCTCCAGTCACCTCCAATGACGCTGGCATACTTTAAAAAACAAAATAATTCCAAAAGTTGGTGTGAACATGGGCAGTAATTTTGCTCGAAATATTACGAAAAGCAAAAACTCATCATTTTGTGTAAACCACTGAAATGTAATTATACTTTATTTGATCATCATCATTATCATCATCCAATCTATTCTCGCATCATTAAACACAACAGGCTCAAAATGTTTGTAATAATACACAACAAGACAATATGATGTAAACAATATGTAGCTAAAGAGAGTATTCATTCTGTCATTTGAAGAAAAAGCAGCGCTGTGACTAACTCTACACCAGAAACACCAACATCTACATTTAAACAAACAACAACAACAACAACTAGATTGAAATGACTTCTTCATTGTTAACAACAAATAACAACAGGTTAACATCACAGCAGAACGAAGAACAGATAGCGACTTCTGTTCAACCTACGCCTGTGTCTAGGTTCCTCTTACAAAGTCAATCCTCAGCAAATCCAAGCTTCAGTCAGGATGCTTTACATAACAGTATTTGCTTTCAGCAAGTATTCATTCAATAAATAAAAATTTTACCAATTAAATCATTTACAAGAAGCAAAGCAAAATACAACATACATATACAGAATCTATGTTATGCAAAATCAACAAACCTGTACGTGTTGCCTCTCTTGCTTTCGGATCCTCAGTTGAAACGATCCAATTATACGTACCCGATAGAATTAACTTTTTAGATAAACTGACAGCTATATCTTTAATTCAACTCGAATCTAATGGTTTCTCGTCTGTGCTTCAGGTAAGAGCAGCCCCAACCACCTCATATAAGCATTGTTTGATAATTAAAGCTTTCTCAAGTAGTTTTAAATTATCCAGTAGAAACGCATGAGCAGCAACAGTTCAACAACCTGAATCTATGCAGTACAATTTAAAGTATTCACACAAGTAAACGGACGACTTCAAGGTGTGTATTAATGTTAGGATAACAGCGTTTTAAACGACTGAGATAAGACAAAATTGATCACCTTAACAGCTCATTCATTGATGAAGTCAAGAAAGACGAAACTTCAAGTCATGACATATCCATGTGGCCCAGACGAACAAACCGTGAATCTATGAATCGATACCTTGTTTTAATTTGGAAACCTTTAAATCTTCCCCAGCCATCTTCACTTAACATTAATATACTACTCATCAGTGATAGGCTTTTTATAGTTGCTTCATTCGAAAATGGAATACGGCCGGATGCCAACTGACAAATCTCCAGTCTTGGATCCAAGAATGAAAAAGGATACTGGAAGTCTTAAACATTTGATCTTGGAGGCGTCGTAACCTTCTACACTAACTCATAGATCCGTCTTTCTTCGCACACCCATCCAGTCGAACTAAGGAGAAACGTTCGCGCTATATTACATTTCGCCCTCAGATTACACTGCATCACACAAGCTCCAAATCGTTGTTTTTGTGTAACACCGTGCAGTCAATCAGTCATTATTCTTTGACATACCACAGTATGTTTTATCACTCCATGCTGTGCACCATCCATGGCATCAAAAACGTATGCCTAAAACAAACACACACAAACACCCAATCACCGAAATAAACGCCTAGGCCTCTTGAGCATTCATTTCTTCCTAACCGGCATCGGACGCTGTTTTGCATTCTCCCTTTCATCTGGGAAAACGTATCCTCAGACTTCGTAGTTCAGGCACACCAGTTAGATAATTACTAAGAGCTTTTTCTTAGTAATGACTAAAATGTTTCATTCTATTCAAATATGCTGCTTATCAGCAACGAAACAGAAGGCTTTTCTGGAATTCAACAACCTACGACATCACTGGCGTACACGTGATATCCAGCTATCGGTCAAACGACGTGTGTACTAAGCTGTAGTTCGCTCCGTCCTTCGCCATGGCTGGCTGTGAGATACAGCCATTGAAAGTGGAATATAAGAGAAGACGAGCTACTTATCTTTGAACATAGGTACCTGAGTTCTACCACATATTTTCAGTGGTATAATATGGCCAGTAAAGTTGAAGTTAGATGTAGCTTGTTTATTAGGTAATAATGATAATAGTAATAATAATAATAATCTACTTTATTCCAAAAACAGCACTTATAGTACAGAATTGAATTCTCAGCATTTGTCATAATATTGCATCTGATTTACTCAAAATATACATAAAATTAAAAATTAGAACAAAATTAACCAGAGGAATTTGTCCACACTTACGATATAAAGTCAAAAATATTCCAAGTACAAATGAGAGTAATAAATATAATAATAATAGCAGTGATTTTGTTTGAAACAGTATTGTCGATTCAGTTTGGAAATTTTAGCATGTTATAGAGTATTGAATCTAATATTCTGTTGATATAGCAGCATAGTGAGGGGAAATACAAAATTAACAGTTATAAAACAGCTTAAATGATGTTCACACTTGTGATAAAATGAACAAATAAAAACAAAAAATTGAGCGGATTATAAACAATAACAATATGGTATAGTGGAATCTTTGTACTTAGACGTACGTACATAAAGTCTTTTGAAAAGACTTCTTGTTTTACCTGAGGAGACGCAACGTTGGCGCTGCGGGTAAATTGGATGCTCACACTTTGACAAAATTCCTCTAGCAAATTTGTTGCATGACATCAAGTGCCCACCAATGATGATGTCAACGATATGGCTCAATGGGATACCTCTCGCCCTACTGACTGACAGTCTTCAGAGCTCTACCAAGTATGACATAGTCTTTTTTAAGCAATCCAGGAAAGAATAAGCAGAGGTGAACAGTAAAGAAGAATAGGTAAGGTGCAAGCGTTGACAAACTATAAAAGGATTGTTAGGGTTATGCCTGAGTGCCTTATCTGCTTAATGTAAAAATTCAGACGAAATATTATTTTAGAAATCGCTAATACATGGGACGACTAGGATAGATCAGAAGAAAGAATTTATCCAAGATACTTAACTTCAGACTTGATTTCTATATCACTATCATCAATTTTGCAACGTTCATAGGAACCAAAAGCTTCATTTAACTTTCTTTTACATCAGAGACTGAAATTAACAGTCCGGCATTTGGAGGGATTTGCTTTAAGACCATTGGACGAAGACCATTTGCTAACTCTTGATAGAAAGCTGTTAATCTTAGTACAGTGTAGCTGGGAGTTAACAGTCGTTGAAATAGTTAGATCATCCGCATACTTAACAAAGTAAGAGTAACTTTTCCATAGTTTTAAGAAAAGTAGGGGTAATAGCAATAGGTCTAAATTTAAAACATGTTCCAGTAGATGACTTCGGTATAGGTGCAATTTTAATGTCCTTCCAAACGGCTGGCACGACATTTCTGGGAAAAGATTCATTAAATATGTCCATGAGAGGATAACACAGGATATCTGCACATTTTCTTAGAATAGGGCTAGGCAAACCATATCGACCTAGGCTACAAGATGGGTTCAGAGACTGGAGACATTTTAGAACGTCATTCGTATTGAAATCAGAGAAGCCGGCTTCATTAGCACTTCTGACACTAGAAAGTTTGGCATTTGTGAGAGAATGTATGAAAGAATTGTTTAGTGTACACACATCAAATGAATAAGGAATACTATGCGTCTGCTTACCCTCAGTGACTTCTTTGAAAAGTTTCAATATATTAGAGGCATTTTCGCCGGATATAAAACTCTGGTTATAAATTAAATTCAATCTGTGTATTTCAGACTTGATTAGCATGTTAAATCCTTTCAAACTAATGTTATCCTTCATTTTATATTACTTTTCTTTTTGCCTGCGAAGCTTTTCAAGCTGAGGGGAGGAGAAACGGCCAAATCTGATGAAGAGTGTTTCTCTGGGACAACAGGTGTCAAGACAAAATTTGAGATAACATGTAATATTAGAGATAGTGTCCTCAAGAGAGTCTTCATTAAACAAGTCCCATCTTTTGTCTTTGAGCATGCTCCTAAGATTCTGAACATTCTCCTGAGAGTAACATCCATGTACAATTTCCTTGGACGGGTGTGAAGAGGTTCTCTTGTGTAACTTTCCATAAATTTTGGGTAAAACCCGTACAATACAATGATCTGAGTTAAGCAGTAGGGCTCTTTTACGAGCTTCGTATATTCCGCAGTCATTTATAAATACAAGATCAAGAGAAGTATCCAGTCGGGTGGGAAAGTTAACGACATTTTCATGACCTAGCACTGTAAGAAAACTGCAGTCACAAGAATTAAAATCACCTTTAACTATGGACAATGAGTTACCAAAAGAGGCGGCAGAGAAAATAGTGAATTTATCAGCGAACATAGATAGTTCTGAAGTACTACAACAAGGTGTGACATAAATGTTCGTGATAAAAATGAAGCTATACTTAGACAGGTGTTTAGGTCGACATTTAACAGTTATACAGTCAATATTATCATTTGAGAATTTAAGGCAAACGTTGTTGGCAACAGACCACTGAGAACTGATAAAAGTAGCAACACCACCACCTCGCTTCTTCCTTGCACTGCTTCGGTCTTGTCTGTACATAGTGAAACCATTTAGAGAGATTACATTGTCATCATATGAATCGTGGAGTCAAGTTTCTTGACGCGTTATTACACCTGTATTACGATAAATATTTGAACATATTAGAGCATCCAAGTAATTAATCTTCAGGTTCAGACAATGAGGATAGAAGGCTCTCGTTGCCTATGCTAATCCTTGCGGTATATATCTCTGCAGAGATCCAGTCTCTGTTTGAAAGCGTTCATCGATGGAGCTGTTACTGCTGTATCAGGTAAGGAGTTCGAGTCGTTGACCACTCCGTGAGAGAATTTGAATTCCATATGTATCTTATTCGAGATCGGTTTGAGCACCTTTTTGTGATGACCTCATAAATGTATCCTAGAGTTACAGTAAAGGTTTGAAAGGTCAATCACTAAATCACCCTTGAATATACGGTAAGCCAAAATTGAGTCGCCTCTCCTCCTTCGGTATGATAATGGGAAGAGATTTAAATGCTCCATCCTCATGTCATAAGGAAGGTATGAGATATCACTAACTAATTTCGTTCCTACCCTCTGTAGTCTTTCCAGGATATGTGCCTCCTTTT